ACAAAAGGGTTACGTATATGTAAATTTTTTCTACTAACGGTGTAAAAATCTCTGCGATTGAAAGTAGTACACGTTTAAGAAATACTAAATTTTACTACTGTTTCTTGTGGCATTTAAGTTTTTTAAAATTGTGAATACAAAGATCTCTAGTGTCTTTGGTGTGCCAAACTATAAAAAATTAAACCCCCCAATGATAAAATAACTTTTAGTAGTAAGAAAATTATGAAGTATTAATAAAGTGAATATAGATGTTCTTAATTGAGAACAAAGTATTTTGTTTGTAACTTTTTTTCACAGTACTAAAATGCATTTTTATAATTTTTGAGGCACTTGTTTTTGTTGATTTTTTTGGCTCTCCCTAAGTCGAGATTCTGGCGCTGCCAGTGCTGATGCGAATTTCTTTTTCAGCTGTTGAGCTTATGAATATATTCTGAAATAAAATATTGTTTAGGGTATTAGTAGTGACAACAAAAAGGTTAAGAGATAAAAAGATTATTTTATGGTCCAATGATCAAAATAATTATTTTTTATTTGATAGGTTTTGAGTAGATGCTCCCGTGTGCCTATAAAATAAGACTAGTCTTAAACGGTAGGTTAACATATAGCATTTCCCAAAAGGCTCGTTTACAGTAACATCCGCCACCACATCTACGCCATCGCTCTACCTCTTCCATCCACCACTAAAAACAGTACTCCTATCAACTTTCTACAATCGCCACCACACGCGCTTGTTCTTCCACTTGGAAGTCTGGTCAAAGCTACGCTAAATTTGACCATTCTAGAGCAACAGAAGAACAAGGAACAATGCATTCAGCGAGCAAGAAGGGTTTTCGAAAAGGGCGCTGGATTACTTCACAAGACAGCCGGGTCGACAACATTATGTGGTCGGTGTTAAGTTGCCTAAGAAACTCAAAATGAAGGCAAATTGAGACCTAGGAAGCTACATTTGCATATCAAGAATACACCGACTTATTCCCTGATGAATAACCTACCACAAGTCTCTAGATTTTGGAAGCAGCTTACAGATTAAAGAAGCAGAAAATCGTTCAAAACGAAGATTAGCACCATTCGCTAGTCGTTACCAGGAAAAAGGGCTTTGGATTTATCAAGATTGTGTTATGGGAACAAAGGGTTGTTAATTTTGTGAAGAATGGGTGACGGAACAGGGGTTTGATCGGAAGATTGTGTTATGAGTAATGGAACAGGGCTTTGATCGTAAAGATGGGTTCGACCTTTTGGAAGATATAGAGGGCTAATTTGAAATAGAAGTTTGGGTCGGCGGCTCTACTTCAAGGTATTTTAATTAACTTGGATAAGTTGTAGCATTTTTATGGGTTTAAATTCTTATTACCCTAAACTATAAATTTTTGTAATTAATTTTTTAAATAGAATTAATATACTTGTACAGTGAAGACGCGATCATCACAATGAATGAAATGCACGAACATTACAGTTAATCAACCTTCCTCTAAAGGTAGACTATATGTACATTATCAAACCACTTTACTTTCTCAGTAGAACAAATTAAACTTCAGGATCACATTCAAGACTAATCTTGCTAATTTGGAAGGAGAGCATGAAAAAATTGAATATTTCCTCCGTTCCATAATAATTATTATTTTCACTTTGTAATACTTCACGTGCCCAAAAGAGTAATCCATATTAAGCCTGATCCAGTGCGATCGACTCCTAAAGACCAGACCGAATTTTCAATTCAGATAGATAGTGGAAAATTTAGTTGGAATAATGATCCAAGAATTGTAACACTTGATGCCTGATGCAATCAACTTAAAGGTGAAAAGAGGAATGAATGTGGCAATGTGTGTCACCGTTGGATCCGGAAAATCCAGCTTGCTCTTTATGTATCCTAGGAGGGATGTCAAAAACAGTCAAAGTTGGTGAGGATTAGTAGTACATGTCCTGAGGAGCAATGAATATCTGTGGAAAGAAGATTGGTTCGATTATGACGGCTACCCAGCGCTCCCATTTGTCATCCTTGATCAAATCGCCAGGCTGATATCCCGGCATGGGGACCGCGTTCTGCAGGATTGCGAATCAATTCCGAAGACTATAGAATTTATTGCCAGCGTATCAACTAAAGTCGCACTTCAGAATCAACCTGGGGTAATTCCTTCCTCACCGATAGTTTTGCCATAAATTTTGGATGATATGCGGTTCAAGATTCTTTCTTTTACGTTTCAAGATACTGAGTAGTAATCTTAATAGATAATTTTGGAAATTTCTGTTATCTATGATAGATAATTATTACGATACATTTTGCATGAGGCTGTATCCAGTATACCCGGAGGCACCGTGCCCCCCTCCTATTTTTTGCATTTTTAGTCCTTATTGTACTTTTTTCTCAATCTTTCTATATTTTACAAGTTTAGTCCCTGTGACTTTTTTTCTTTCTCCTTTAAAAAATATCTCCAATCTTTCAATGACCATATCTCATAATCCGTAAAGAATTAGAGAACGTGTTATACATGAAATTATAGTACTCGTCGAGATCTATTCAACAAAATCCATTTCGAATATTTTTTTTTTGAGTTTAAAAATGATCAAATTTCTTTGGGCAGAATTAAGTTGGATATCCAGTACAAACAAGTTGGATAATCAGAATGAACACAGTGGATAACCAGTACAAACAATTTGGATAACCATGTAATTCGTTGGATAACTAGTATGCACGAGTTGGATAACCAGTATGAACAAATGGATAACCAGTTCAAACAATTTGGATAACCATGTAAATCTATTGGATAACCAGCATTAGCGCATTGGATAATCCAATACAAACCAATGATTGGATAACCAATACAAACGAGTTGGATAACCAACTTAGTTTATTATTTTTTTAAAAAAATAATAAAAACAAAAACCAGGTTGGATAAATAATACTAATTAGTTGGATAATCTGTCCATCAGAATTAAGTCATTTTTAAGCTCGAAAAAATATTCACTATGGATTTTGTTGGATAGATCTCGACGAGTACTATAAATTCATATATAATTCGTTCACATATTCTTCACGGATTGGGAGATATGCTCGTTGAAAGATTAGAGTTGGATATGCATACAAACCAAATGGATGGATATTCAGTACAAATAAGTTGGATAACTAGTATGAACAGATTGGATATCCAGTTTAAAAAGATGGATAACCAACTTATTTTACATTCATATTATTCTTTTCCTTGTACCTTTTGATTCGTAAAGAATTATAACACGAATTATATATGAAATTTATAGTGCTCGACGAGATCTATCCGATAAGATCCATGCTGAATATTTTTTTTGAACTTTAAATGCATTTAAACTTTACGGGTAGAAAATGAAGAAATGTGTTTTTCGTTTTTCTTTGAAAAATGGTTATCCAATCGGTTTGGACTGATTATCCATTCTGTTCGTACTTGTTATCCAATCATATGTTTGACATTCACTCTTCAAAAAAAAAAAAGATGGATATCCACCTCTATTCTATTCTGCCCGTCAGAATTAAGTCATTTTTAAGCCCGAAAAAATGTTCACTATGGATTTCGTTGGATAGATCTCGACGAGTACTATAAATTTCATATATAATTCGTTCACAAATTCTTCACGGATTGGGAGATATGCTCATTGAAAGATTAGAGTTGGATATGCATACAAACCAAATAGATGGATATCCAGTACAAACAAGTTGGATAATCAGCATGAACACAGTGGATAACCATTACAAATAATTTGGATAACCATGTAAATCCATTGGATAACCAGTATTAGCGCATTGGATAATCAATATGAACACATTGGATATCCAGTTTAAGAAGATGGATAACCAACTTATTTTGAATTAAGAAGTTGGATAACCAAATGGATAAGTAGTAGAAACAAAATGGATAACCAGTTCAAACTGATTAGATAATCAGCATGAACACAATGGATACCAAGTTAGAACAAGTTGGTTATCCATCTTGTAAAACTGGATATCCACCCCTATTGTGTCCATCAGAATTAAGTCATTTTTAAGCCCGAAAAAATATTCACTATGGATTTTGTTGGATAGATCTCGACGAGTACTATAAATTTTATATATAATTCGTTCACAAATTTTTCACGAATTGGGAGATATGCTCGTTGAAAGATTAGAGATGTTTTTTTTTGGAAGAGAGAGAAAAAATGACAGGGACTATACTTGTAAAATATAGAAAGATTGATAAAAAGTACAATAAGGGCTAAAAATGCAAAAAATAGGAGGGGGGCACGGTGCCCCCGGGTATACTGGATAATTTGCCTTTTGCATGATTGACGGTCCAAGATTCCTCCTTTTGAGTGAAATACTGATGATGATTAGTAGTAATAATCCCAATAAATAATTTCCGATATTCTTGTGATTTAGTATTCAAGATCCTGTTTTTTCGCCTTTATTGATTCTATTTTCTAGACTAATAGTAAGGCCTAATAGTGATAATCTCAATATAATTTCAAATTTTTTTGGTTTCTCAATATAATTTCAACTTTTTTTAGTTTTTTGTGTTTTGGGCAGACTTTGTGGGAGTCAGACTATGAGAATTTCATGCTAGAGGAGGGGATTGAATATCCCCTCATAGCACCTAATCCAGTTACATATCTCCCTTATCTCATCAACAGTAAAGTTATCTCTCAGCCTAATGAAACCAAAGAGGATTTCTGGAATAGGTTGAATCTAGAGAAGTATAGTGTCATCAGCAAGTTGATGAAGAGTTGTCTCACAACAATTGAGATCCGGATCTTAAGTAAGTTTTTTTTTTTTTGAAAAAAGAATTTGATTTTAATCACTGCCTTTATTGCTCTTTATTGTTAATTTAACTCTTTATTGTTAATTTGATGTGTGATCATGATGTTTACTTGTAGCTGGTGAAGTCTTCAATTTTAGGCCGGTATTTGTTGCTTTATCCAGCTTGCTCCTGGCTTTTGACAAAGTGAGAAGAGAATGAAGGCGATGAAAGGAAAAGGAAGGAGAAAGAGGATGAAAAAAAATGAAGGAAGGCAAAGATGGAGTGACAAAAGAGCGGGACAAAAAGAGGATAAGTATGGTGGAGTTGATATTGGAAAAGTTAGGATTGGAGGATGAGCTTAAGGAATTTGAACACTACTCTCATGTGATTGGTAGAGTGTCGATCTGTCCTAGTTGTTACTCAGGCTATGACAGAGCCATTGATTTTGAATGGTTGTCATGCCAAGCAAGGCATAGTTGGCATTCCAAATGCGGTGATGGCTGGGAAAGAACAAATCCTGAGGCAGTTAGAATTTGTTTTTACTGCAGAGAGCAAGGCGTCGACCGACTCGGGAAGATATAGATTTTGAGGAGCAGCACTATCATATGTGGTACACATTTTAGTTTCTTTATCATCATTGAGGAGCAGCTGTTATTCTTCTCTTGGCTGTTATCCCTTTTGTATTTTAGGATGATCAGATTGTTGTGAAGGTCTACCTTACTATTATTTAAAAACTTTGTCACTGAGAATCAGGAAGTCCATAAGTTGTAGTATATCTTTTAAGTGAGGTTTCTCACATAGAAATATGTGTTCCTTTTTTACTGAGGGTGTTAAATGTAAGTGTGTGAAAATCACCCTTTGAGTTATCTTCTTGGTGAGAAAGGACATTAACACGTTATAGAATCTCTATTCAAAGTTGGTTTGGAGTATAGTAAATGAATCTTAAGCTGAAAATGATTGTATACTTTGTAGTTGAAGGAAGTATCCATCCATCTGCATGAAGCTCTCTATGTTGCTTCAATGGCGTGACAATCGTCACTGGAGTACTTAATCTGCAGTTGTCTTTATATCTGAATCAATCAAGTTTTAAAACTATTCTAAACACCAAGAATCCATATATAGTTCATATCATCTCTAGGGACTAGAAAACAAGTATTAATAGTTCATATTTTACTAAATATTTATAGTAATTAGTATTTTTTTTTTTGTTAGGGTGTTTATCAATTTATGGTATTGTTGGGACATATAGATATTTAAGAGATTTTCTAAAATATTATTATCTTATCATTTTATCGATTTTTATCACTTTTTGTATTGGTCTCAAGTTGGGACAGGAGAAAATTATTAATTGTTAGAAGTTATTAATTTATCGATTATTAATTTACCAACGTTCTACTGTATTATATTTTTAAGATAACTATCAATTAAAAATAAAAATGAAATATACATTTTACCTCTCAGTAGAAGTCAAGGAAATATACATGGCCGTTTCACGATCAAAATCGTTGAAATGTGAGGTTATGACCATCAAGGCATGAACAGCCAGATATAGTTGATTAAAATTTGATATAACGATTAATCAACATTATAAGAGTAAAATTCGGGATGTTTATAATACCACCATTAATTTAAAAGTCAAAGATATGTTCACATATAATTTACTCGACGTCATCTATGGAGTCCTAAAATTAGAATTCAATCACTACGCATACAAATTCACTCTAAAAAAAAATTATGGGAGGAAAAAGTTACAAGAAAAATGACAAGAAATGATTACACACCATTTCTTAATAATTAGGAGAACACAATGAATCTAAATATATAGTTTTAAGTTTTTTTCTCCATCGAAAAAAACGTACTACGTAAAATTTAAGATAAATCAAAATATCTTATAATAAGAACCAAATGGAGTATGAGTGGTTTAGATTAAACCCAGTAACGGATCATGAGTTTGATTGCTAGCATCCGAATTCAAATCCTCTTTTGTTCTTTGCAGATTTGATTTATTTTGCTTTCGGCCCTTTGAATACCTATTAATTCCATGAACCATACATAAGTGTGTCAACTTTTGTTTATATATGTTAGGATTATCTGTTTCTATGTTTCACTTTTATACTAATGTCAAAACTTTCATAAAAAATCCTTTAATATTCATACTAATTATATTTTGCCCGAAACATACCCTTTTATTGTCAGGTGCATCTATTTTATTGTGTGATAAAACCTAAAATCCACGTGTACCTCTATTAGATATTATATCAAATTTATATACAAAAATTTTGGATGTGGAAATTTCTTGCACGAATGTATGAACAATTAATTCAAAGTTCAACATGAAGATAAGGAAGAATAATTGAGATTAGGAAAGCGATTTTATTTTTATTTTCAAAATGAAAGATAATGGAAAAGAATAGTGAAATGGTGACATAACTGGAGATGAATAAAAAAATTATTCATTCGCACTTTCTAAGCATGTGTGATACTCGCTCTCTTTAGACTCACAATACAATAAGGACTATGGTCTATGTTATCATTTGCCACCAAATTTTCCACATGTAACAACCTAACCAGTAAAAACTAAAACTTGTAAGCCTCCCACCAATGGTAGAACTTAAAAAACCAAAAAAACAAAAAAAAACAAAAAAAAACAAACAAAAATTGATTCAAGGGCATCTTATTTCTAAACATGGATGGGGATTAGGTTCATATATGTCATCTCTGCGAGGAGGTGTCTCAAGTTGCATACCTTTTGGCATCTACATACTACAGAAATGAGTTTCCCAGAATGAGATCCAATAAACACAAAGACTTTGTTTCCTTTACATAAACGCATTGGTAATGCATAAGCACAAGACTCAATATGAGCTCTTCCCACAACGGTTTGCATATACTCCTAACATTTCAAAATGTTGGTTATTTTAGACTATACATGTCAACAAAAGAGACAATCATTTAATTATTAATTTATATGTTAAATACCTAATTCACCCATCATTAATTATTTTGGAACTATAACCAAGATCAGATGAAAAGTACTTAATATTATTTATTAAGGATAAAGTTGAAAAGTTGATCTTTAATTTACTTTAAAATCGTAAAACGACCTACATTTTGAAATGGAGGGAGTAACATTTTCCTCGCAGACTTGTTTTAGTACCAGAATCAGATTTCCAGCATTTTGATATGTTGCAACGGCTGAAGAAACTATTTGTATGAGAGTTCCCACCCCAAAGCCAGAAGTAGTTTTTTTTTTTTTTTGAAAATGGTACATAATATTAATTGGAAGTACCTATACTATTACAACATGTTAAATTATACGTTATATTATGTAAATCACTCACATCATTACGACTTATCTTAACTATCTCACAAAACTCCATGGACGACATTAGACTATTAACAAATGTACAATTTCTTGTGCTTCCACCAGGATCGGGGTTTGATTTAGGTCTGTTGCAAGAAGTTTACAGTCAGTGTAAATATGGATGTGAGTGAGACCGAGTTGAATTTCTTCTCTTAATACCATGAGACATGTGAGAGCCTCCGCCTAGAAAGGAGAGAGAGCCTGAAGTTCTGAGGCTTTAATTTGCATTACTGCTCCCTGCGGTGATGTAATCTTCCATGCGCCAGCCGCCATCAAGGTATCAGGATGGAATGAGCCATCAAAATGAAGAAGAGCATCAATGTATAATTGTTGGACCTGATGAGATGAGATTATTGAGTCTGATGGAGAAGTCCTCAATGTAGAATTCTGATTTAGTCTGAGTAGTCTTTGCTGATGCTACTGATGTTCCGCCTGGATAAGTCTCCAAGAAAGAGTAGGATTTTGGGTGTGGTTTCTCCAGACTTTATCATTTCTGTCCAGCGAGATTCTCCAGAAAATGTGGAGAAAAAGATCAATATCCTTTGCAGATGGTCTCGACTGAATCTAGTCAATATACCAATCCAGGAGATTTGTAGTCAGGGAGTCGTACACAGATTGGAAAAGAGGATACGCGAAAGTCCAAATTGCCTGAGAAAATGGACAAGTGATAAAAAGCTATCTTCCTCCTAGAGTCCAAATCAAGGACAAACTGTAGGAATATCAATTCCTCTTCTATGCAAATCTTTTTTTGTGGGTAGTGCATTCAGAACCACTCTCCACAAGAGGAGCTTAAGCTTCAGTTGATCCTTAATATTCCACAATTTTTTTCAGGCATTAATTTCATCATACTGAGTGGGACCATTGGATATACCAGATGTTGGGACCAGATTTATGGCTACAGGATATCCAAAGTAAACAGTATAGCTCCCATGGAAAGTAGGAGTCCAATGCAAATCTTCATTGTGAGAATGACGCTCTAGATCAATAAATATGCTTGTGATGTGAGGGATGACATGATCTGGGAATATTGTTCTTAGGAACTGTACCTTCTACTGACCATCAGGTATGATCAGGTCCTTTACTTTGATTTGGGAGTGAAGAGCTAGAAAGGAATCTTTTTGGATGGGATTAGGATGGTTGGGAATCCAGTCGTCTGCGATATGAATATCTTTCCCTAAGATCATCTTCCATTTAACATTATTTTTCAGTAATTGAGATCCCCAGAGTATGCTTTTGTATCCCCAGCAAAGATTATTATAATGTGGAGGAGATGGAAAAGGGCCGTCTTCCACAATACTTTGCACGATATAACCTAGAAACTTGGGATTGGGGATGAGATATGATCTTCCATGTATGTTTGGTTGGGAGTGCTTGATTAAATTCTTTTGATGATTTCAGACCCAAGCCTCCATGAAATTGTGACTTAGCCATTTTCTTCCAAGATCTCCAGTGAATGCCCTTATCCGAGTTATCCCCATTCCAGATGAATTGAGCAATGATGCTGTCAGCTTCTTTAATTTTTGATCCCGGTAGTTTAAATACTCCCAGAGGATAAAAAGCATGGCAGATAAAGTAGATTTGACTAGAGTAAACCACCCAGGGAGGCATAATAGCTTAGTTTTCCAGTCTACAAACTTACCTCTCAATCTTGATGTAATGTGTACTGAAGATCTGCTTTTTCTTTTGATTGAAGTCTATTGGCATGCCTTGATACTTGCTGTGAAATTGTCCCTGAGGGATTTGCAAGGTGTTATGGATGAAGGACTTCAATTCCTGAGTAATATTTGGGCTCCATAAAATAGAGGATTTCAGGAAATTAATTTTTTGCTCTGAGAAAGCAGCATATTGATCAATCAGACCCGAGAGGGCTTGGATTGTAGATTCTTGACATTCAATGAAGAAGAGGCTGTCATCTGCATACATTAGATGACTGATTCTTGGAGCATGTCTGCTTATTTTAATCCCCAATGCTGGAAATGATTGAATTTCCTCTCTGATTGCTGAGGACAAAACTTGCTGACATAGAATGAAAAGGTAGGGAGATAGAGGACAACCTTGTCTGATGCCTTCAGTAGGGGAGAAAAATGGAAGTTGTTATCCATTGAATTGGATAGAATAAGAGACTGTAGAGACACATTGCATGATAAGTTCCACTACTGTATTAGGAAAACCAGCATGTTCCAACACTGACCTGAGAAAGGGCCAAGAAACACGATCATACGCTTTGCTCATATCCAGCTTGATTGCTGCCAATCCTGTCTGACCTTTTTGATGTCGTATACGTTCTACCACTTCATTTGCTATCAGGATATTCTCATTGATATTCCTTCCCGGAACAAAACCGTTTTGATGTTCATCGATGAGTGAAGGCATGACCTGTTTAAGCCTATTTGTAATCATCTTAGTGATGATTTTGTACTTTACGTTACAAAGACTAATGGGTCTAAAATCAGAGGGATGAATCGGGGAGGATGATTTAGGAATTAAGACTAAATTATTTTGGTTCCATTCTTCTGGAAACTGTTGCATGTTCATTGCATCCAAAATTGCATTCTCCACCTCTGTTCCAATGATGACTTTGTATTATTGGTAAAATCCTGCCGGCATTTCATTTGGCCCCAGAGATTTCCAGGGTGCCATTTGTTTGACTGCACTCCATAACTCTGTAGCTGTGTAAGGATGATCAAGTTGCTGGAATTGTTCAGGAGTTAGGACTTCTTCAAATTTATGAAGCAAACTTTGGAAAAAAGGGGATGTGGATGTAGACGGTGATGCAATCCCAGGAGGAGATTCTGAATATTCATAAATATCAAAGAAATAATGCTGAAGGAGATTACCGATTTGGCTAGGGCATTGGATCCATTCTCCTGATAGTGCTTGCAATTCTGTAATCCATTTACTACCCTTTTCCTGATTCGCCCATTTATGAAAGAATTTGGTATTATAATCCCCTTGCAAAGGCCAAATGAGGTTTGCTCTTAGTTGCCGATAATCCTATTGATGTTGAAGGGTAATGTCCAATTGTTGTCTTCTTTGTTGTAATTAGGTTAATAAAAACTCATCATCCTGGTTAACCTCCCACTGTTGTTGAGCTGTAGCTAACTCTTCTTGGTGTTTGAGTACCAATTTATCCAGATTACCAAAGGTATTCTGACTCCAATTATGTAAGAAAGATAAACTATGATACAATTGGTAGGATAGCTTTTGTTGGTGATCTAGGAGAGACAAACCTTGTTGGTTCCAAGCTGTCTGAATGAGGGAGGTAGCATGCTGACATTTAGTCCAAAATTGCTCAAATCTCTTCCTTTTTCGTGGTTTCTTACTTTTTCTTCTTTAGATGAACCAATGTTGGACCATGATCAGATGTCATGCTAGGGACATTTCGGATAAAGGCCTTTGTAAACATGTTAATCCATTGTCTGTTGACAAAAGCCCTATCTAATCTCTCATAGATGGCATCTTGATGTTGCCTTTTGTTGGTCCGTGTATACCAGCAGCCAATGTGCTTCAGCTTTTCCAAATCATTGTGTGAAATGAGAGATTGAACTCTGTTGGCATCTTGATCACGAACAGGCCGACCACCACTCTTATCTTCCTGATTAATGACTTCATTAAAGTCTCCTAATAAGATAGTAGGATAGGATACACGACTTTTGGTGTCAGTAAGCTTAGACCAAAATTCGGATCTCCCTCTAACAGAAGGCCATCTATACAAAAAGTTGCAATCCACTCGACTCCTGTAATTTCAGTGCTTTTAGTAATAATCACATTAGAGTCCTAGTGCAACATATCAAGCTTGACACCATCTAACCAGAATAATGATAAACCACCACTAATACCTACAGGTTTGACTATTAAAGAGTTCTTAAAAGATGAAGATCGCTGCCAGGCTTCCATACAAGGCTTTCCTGCTTTGGTCTCCATCAAATACAAAATACCAGGTTTATATTGTCTGCATAATCTACTTATTACATGATGAGATGAAGTATTATTCATACCCCTACAATTTCAGGACAAAATATTCATGAAAACAGAGGCGGTTGATCTGGCTCAACCACCGCAAAGCGCTTCAGATTGCTGCCTTCACTCTCAACTGCTAGAAAGGCAGACTGCATCCCACCATTATTGCGTTTCCTTGGAGATTCATGTTCCTCATCCTGTGCAGTATCAGGTCCTCTCTTCCTGTTTCCTTTGGAATCATCAGTTGAACTATCCACACCATGTTCACCATCACTGGCAAATCAGCAGAGTCCAAATCTACATCACTAGCCAGCGTCATGCGTCATCCAGTAGTCTTCAGGTTGATACTGGATGTCTTTTTCCTGTTCCTTCTCGTGGACTTCTTCCTTCTAGCTGGAGGGCAATAGACAGACTTTCCAGATGACTGGTTGAGGGATTTTGGTTTCTTGTGGATTGGAGCAAAATCAGCTTCAGTGTCTGAAACTGCCTGATGGATGATCATACGGTGTGAGGTGACACTGATCTTAGAGCCAAAGTTTGATATATCCTCTCATGGGGGTGTAGCCATTGTCCATCCTTGAGACCTAAGATCAGAACTGTGGCAAGATCGTTTCTAGGTAGCTGCTGAGCTAGCTGCTCCAGTACCAGAGCTAGCAGTGGAGGATTCAGAGACACCTGAAGAAGGAGACAGAGTGCAATTGTGCAGCAAGAAATTCATCCAATAATTCAGCCCTGATATCAGTCTGAGAGTCTTCTGAGAATACCATATCACTAGAGTGAAGGGAGAGCATGCTATGATCACTATCACCCAGGGAATCAGTAAAGGTCACATCAAATACAGAGACAAGGGAATGAGTTTCAGGGGTTGGGAGGAAGTCGGGGACATTTAGGATAAACAAGTCAGGCATAAAATCCATATCATCTAGCAAAGTGGCAGAAGGTGTAGTTTCTAGAATGTCATAAAAGGATGCTGACATATAGAAATGATTAGATGTAAAAGAGTGGAACGACTCAGAGGTACCTTCTGATGGAGAATCAGGAAACTAAGTAGGTGATTCTGGCTGATTAACCCGAGAGGAAGGAGAGAGTGACTATGCATCCTCCATTGCAGCCGGTGCAGCCATGCGATTGGGATCATAAAATACTGTGGAAGTCGCGCCTGAAGGTCCAGTCACCTGATATGTGGGAAAAAGGCCGTTCTATGGAGGAAGATCATCATCTACAAAATTATCAGCATTCATGTCTGCTTGATAATCATCATCATCTCCTCCCTGCTCATCATCCTCATCTCCTCCCTGGTTGCTATCACCACCATCTGAATCAGAGGAATCGCCAGGAGCCCAAGGCTGTAGAGGATCCTCTTCCTTTTCAATGATAGTAAAACCATCCTGTACATATCGTTCTGGCATCCAAGAGTAATAATCTAACATTTGCTCTACCTTAAACTATGGAACTAAAGTACTACGCCTTTTCTGATGTGCATGGGCTCTTAAAGAGCTAGTACACAAAGTTTTTGCCACATCTACTAACAGAGGAGAATCAAATTGAACTGTCTTCTCAAAAAAGAAGGAATCCAGAAACTGTTCTAGAGCATGCTTCTCAAATAGACAGCAATGTTGCAGGGGATGGCCTAGTCTACCACAGCGTTGACAATAATTATGCATGTGTTCATATTTGCATCTAATTTTCCCAATTTTGCTATTACGCTTAGTAAAATGAAAATATGGAGTTAAGGGGATACCTGTCTTTATCAAACCTTAGCTCTGACATACGTAGCCTTGCGTAAGGAGACACAATCCTCTTTAAGAACAGCCACTTCGCCCACACGTCGAGCCAGATCTGCCACCCCTCGATAATTTATCATTGAGATAGGAACTCCATGCATGCTCACCCAGATACTCAGTTTCTCAATACTTATTCCATCCAGAGCCAGGTCCTCATTGTCATAACAAAGCCGAAGAATGAGCAAACCTCCGTCCACAGCATATGGACCATTATCCAGCATCATCAGAAGATCAGATCTAGACAGAAACTTAATGACAAAGAAATTTCTGTCATAATGGAGGACCATGTGTACACCGGCCAGTTAGCAGTCAGATAGCATTGCATGGTCCGATCATCAACTTCCTTATCATCAATAAGAAAGCCCAGTAAAGAATATCGCAGGTTTTCTCTTGACAGGCGAGTAGCATCATCAGTAATCTGCATGTTGTGAGTTCTAAGATGCGAGCGAGGAATAGATCTAGGATCAATATCTATTCCGGGCCTAAAGCCATGATCTTCCTCTGAAAATTTCGAACCTTGCACTGACATTGTTGTGACCGAATCTTCATCAAAAGTATGTCTGTAAGCCATGTGAAGTCAATAAAACTAACAGAAAAAATACAGCAACCCCAGATAGAAACAAAACAGGGAAGTAAATTCACTATAAAAACACTAGATCTGGTGGCAGAGGAAGTGGAATGTTCAGCCAAGTCAGTAAAGGAAGAGGAGGGAATTAAATGAGACTGAGGGAATATTGGGAAACTACAATATCGCTTGAGTTGGCCAAATTAGTTTAGAGAAGACCAAAAGAGCCAAAAGGGTTCAATTTTCCAAATCCAAAAGGTCGAAAGCTTTAGTGTACTTTTATCAGGGAAAGCAACATCTGAGAAGGAATTTAAATTTAGAAAAGGACAATCAGATCATGAAAAAAACAAAGAAAGGTAAGGAGAAAAGGTAGAAGTCAATAGGTTGGATATATTAAAAACCACAATTAGAAGCTACCTAATTTTTTATAAGAATATTTTGGAAAAAAAAAAAGAGAGATGAGTTTTGCATGTTGGCCAAATGGCAAGAACCATCTGAACAACCATACCACCAAAGGTTTTAAAATTAAAAATTGGAAAGCGGATTTAAAGAAACAAGGTGTTGATACTGATTATATTTGGATAGTGGAAGATGGAAGTTTTGGTGATTTTGTTGTCAAGGTGTTTTCCTCTAGTTTGAGGTAAACAATACATTCTCTTAATAGAAATTTTTAGAGAGAAGTACAGCCAAAAGTAATTGTCTCTTGAACTACCATAAATTTGAACAGAGGACAAACTATCACTACTAGAGTAATCATCTATTTCAAACGATCTCGCTGTGGTTTACTTCCATAATGGCAAGCCATGATGAGGCAAATAAGATTGCTAGAAGAACAAAAAATAAGAGATGTTCTTACAACTCTACCCAAATGAAACTGTGTTCAAAAAAAATTAAAAATCTGCTAATGAACGTATTATGTCATCAAATCACCTCCCCAAAGTAACCTACAATCAATCTAGGGGTCAGAAAAACAAAAATGAAAAGATACCTATACCCTTGTGCCCCCTTAAGATTAATCCTGATTATTATAATTTTTGGCGAGACAAAAGTTAACATTTCAATGCCATGAAAAGATGGAAAACCAGAAAATGAGAACCATCACACAGAAGACCTAATAATGGTTAGAGTTTCAAGTTATGACTTTCAACAGATCATGATTCCACAATTGTTTGTAAAATATGAGCCTTCAAACGAGAAGCAGCAGCAGCAGCTCATAATCCACCTTCCCGGAAGAAGAAATAGATAGCGATTCAGCAAATAAAATGTGGTTACAAACCACAGTTTGTGGAAGTTTGTCAACCATCCAACTCCAAATCAAAAACTGGAAATGTTCATCGCAGTTTTCCCTTTGCTTCACTACCAGGTGTGCTTCAACGAGTGAAATTTCCCCGTGATTTTTTTGGCAAACTACTTCAGCCTTAACTATATCTGCAGTCTCCATCAATATGCTCTCTACGATTCTAACTCTTCTAAAGCAATTAGTTTCCATTGAACTTTATTGCGCGGCCCTTCCTTCCAATGAAAATAAGCACTAGAAAAAACCAGTTTTGAAGTAATACTGAGGTTTCTTCTTGCTATAGGTGCTGTAGCCCTGGGGAACTTCAATGTGAGTAAATGGAGTTCCGGAAGGATGATCAAAATATCCAGCAGCGTAACACACCCCACAGAATATTTCCACGGGTCTTAGGTACACGTTCTTCAATGAGCACAACACCAAGTTACAGAGTAGAAAACCAATTGGAACTCTGCCAACTGACACATCTTCCAAAATTACGGGCAGCTACATGCAATCGAAATACGTACAGTCATGTGAGACCTGTAGTTTAAAATAAAATTGTTCAAGGCAAAAAATTCACACTCTGAAAGTGCATTTGCCAAAGGCGAAAGATACTCTAAAATTGCATTTGGTAAAGTAAGACTTAAAATGGGACCAATGCTTATCAAACTCAAACCCAGTTTAGCATTTCTAAACCATTTGGGGGGAGGTTTTCAATGTCACTGTTAACATTTTGTATGTAAAGCCCATCCACGTGCCCAGATAAAGAATGCACAAAAAATCAGAGCACAAAAGAGTTTTCAAGAACAAATCAATTGGCATTCCAGAAATGAATCATAAAATCCTTCATAGGGCAAGAGAATAAAACTAAATCTGCCTGCATGGAACACAATCGCAATTACTTTTCAAGTTTGGTAGAAGCAATAAAGTAAAGCCATATCCCATCATCCACATTGCAGATGATCGTGTGAGATCCAAGCAAAGAAAGTACCCAGCCAAAGCAAAAAGATCACAAAACAACACAAGAAAGAGCATGAATAGCTGGATTGACAAAGAGATAAAGTGACCCATTCTCACCAATGATCCTGCACATTGCTAGAAATATCTGCCTCAGAAGGAAGAAAATCTGGAGAATAAAAGAAAGTATACCAAAAAGACTTACTACTTTATTTCAAAAAAACTAAAAGCTACGAACTGATATATGTGAGATTATCCAAAGTTAAGATCCCACCATTAGGCAACCATTATCAAGAACTTTTCAAATTTTCCTTTCAACAAGTAAAAGTATCTTTTTATCGATTTGAGAAACAAAATCAAATTATTTTCAAAGAAATAGTCGTATATGTTTTCCTATGGCATACAAAGTTCTGTCTTTTCCGTAATCTGCCTCATACAACAATCTAGGAAGGACAGTTCTGCCAGACATTTGATGTTAAAATCTAGGAAGGACTGAGGAAAAAAGCACCAAGGGGAAAAGAAATGCAAAGTAATCAGCTAACTGAATTAGAAGAGCAATTGACATACCATTTCAGCCGAACCCTGAACATATGTTCCTCAAAATAGAAAGCATGTGTATGTGCTCTGATAATTCAACAAGAAAGATTCGCATGGTCATGAAGACAGAGCCACACCGTTGATTCGACGCTCCCATCTTTTGGAAATCCACCACAGTAATCTATTAGTAAATGTTTTGTTTACAGTTTTCTCCAAGGCTTTTACTTTTTCTTTCATGTTACCCCCCATAGACGTGCATCATTAAACTCAATCTTCGTGAATGGGGCAGTCATGAAACAAGAATAACATTTACCAAATAAATTTACGTGCACTTAAGGTCATGAGACATGCTTTGATTATTTTGACCAAAAAGTTACTTGGATCAATATGAGAAAAGCCTTTTTTCTCCTCTTTTTAAAGGGAAGCTTATAAGAGTCATAAGTAGCAAGAGTTTGACCCTCCTTACCTATGTAATACAATATAAATTCAGAACAGCAGTGTCAGGCAGTAACTTCATCAGTCCCACATAGAGACAGGTGAAAAACTTCACCACATAAAACCAGTACTCTGAAATCTCACAAAATTGGATTTTGCAAAGGATGGAGAACTGTTCTCACAAGGATGGTACCGCCACAAGGCTGTTCACAGCATACATCTGCCAACAAAGAAAACAAAAAACAAGACATCTGGACAATTACAAAGAAATGAGGTGAGCTTTGCATCGAGTCATAAACAATTTTAAGAAGAAAAAATTAATTTTCAAACACTTAAAGTTCACAAAAATTAGCCAAAAGTTCCAGAAACAACATCAAGGTCCAACTTATGAAGTTATTAAAAGATTCTCAATGTGATGTAGTA